GGGATCACAAGTCAAGGGTTTAATGTGTGACAGACTTAGGGATATTCTCTCAGCCTTCCCTCTTGATTTCCACCTTTACCACCTGGGGTAATAGGAGTGCCTCAGAAAATTGCAGGATTTTAGCAGTGGGTATAGCAACAGTTTTATGACTACTGCCAAATTAGTACTTACCTTGGGCCAACCCCCTGGACTGACTGCCTGTGAGCCAGACTGGCCTGGCTACATAGTGTTCACCCAGAAGGAATAATTGTCTTTACTGACTGGTTATAAAAAGCATAGGATTTTCGATTGGGCATGGTGGCTCACTCCTGTAATCCCAGCACTCTGGTAAGCCTGGGATGGTGCCAGGATGGTGGATTGCCTGAGCTCACAGTTTTGAGACCAGCCTGAGCCAGAGCGAAACCTTGTGTCTAAAAATAGCCGAATGTTATGGCAGGTGCCTGTAGTTCCATCTACTTGGGAGGCTGAAGCAAGAGAATCGATTAAGCCTAAGAGTTTGAGATTGCTGTGAGCTATGACGCCATGGCACTCTACCAAGGGTGACAAAGTGAGACTCTTTCAAAAGAAACTTAGGATTTTGGGGGGGGGGAAGTTTGCTAAAGATAGAGCAGCAGGATGCAAGGGGGAAAGTCAATAATGGGTTCATTGATTGATCCATTCATTCAGCAAGCTTTGAGCCCTTGTGCCCCACTCTGTGCTAGAGGCTGAGGATCACCACCCTGCAGGGCAGGAGCAGTGTACCAGCAGGGCTGTACTCCGTCTGAAGACCTAATGCCCAGCACAGGAACCACAGGGGTGAAAACAGGAGATGCAAAGACAGAGGGAAGAAGACCCAAAACTTGAAGCTGGGTTGAGCTACCTAAGGAAATCGCATGAACAAAAGCATGAGGGCAGACAATCCTCTGAAGACAGTAGTCGGCTCACTGCAGATGACAGGGTGCAAATGGACCAGGTAGGAAGGATGTGAAGGCCATCTGAGGCATTTGAATTTTCTACTACAAATAAATGAATATTGAAGATCCATTGAAACTTTTTTTTCAAAAACAACTTTACTGAGGTATAATTTGCATGCTACAAAATTCACCCTTTTTAAGTTTACAATTAAATTGTTAGTAAATTCACGAAGTCACCATCATCTATTGCAGCAGTTCTCAACCTGTGGGTCGCAAACCACAGGAACTGTATTAAAGGGCCACAGCATTAGGAAGGTTGAGAACCACTGATCTAGTGTTAGACATCTTCATCACTCCAGTAAGATCCCTCAGGCTGGCTTATAGTGAATTCCTGTTCCCATCTCCACCTCCAGGCAAATACTGTTTTAATTTCTGTCTTTATATGTTCACCTTTCCTATAATTCATTTCATGTAAATGGATTCATGTCCGATACATGGTTTCCTCACATCTGGCTTCTTTCCCTTAGCATCGTGTTTCTGATGTTCATTCTCTTTGTAGCATGTATTAGTGTTTTATTCCTCTTTATTGTGGAATAGTGTTAACTATATGGCTAGACACATTTTATTTATCTATTCAGCAGCTGGTAGACATTTGGGTATTTCCACTTTTTGGCTATTATGAATAATACTTCTATGAACATTCTTATGTGCAAGCCTTTGTTCTCATGGGTAGGTGTCCAGGAATAAAATTGTTGAGTTGTATGGTAAATTTATATTTAATTCTTTGGGGCTGTACTTAATTTGTTTATTTAATTTTTCAAAACAGTTTTATTGAAATATAATTTGTATACCATACATTCACCTTTTTAAAGTGTGGAATTCTTTTATTTTTTTAAATTTAAAAAAAATTATTTTTATTTATTTTTATTTTTTTTTTTAGAGTTTAATGTATTTTAATAGCAAACTTACAGGAACAGCACAGAAGACACAACATTAAAAACATGTACTTGCATGTAGGACAACTCAGAAAAGTATAGTGATGGATGGAATCTACTGTATGATAAAAATGCTACAAACACCATTTAGTTGCTGTCAATAAGAAATTTACTTGTTTTTGAAAAAATCCAAATGCTGGCATTGTCCAGAAAAATTTAACAGGTTTATTTATAATAGTTATAAAGTTGAACTGCTGAAACTTGTTCACTGAAACATTTTGACTCGCTTTAATGCTGCACATCCCCGCATTTTATATTAAAAATTCACACACAAATGAAAACGGAAAAACTGCCAATACCTGATTTCTGTCCCCTATTTTTCCAGTCGCAATCATGTACTTAAGTATCTTTTGACCCCATGGGAGAAAAGAAAATCTAACGTTCAGAACTACCAATAACAGGAAGAAGAAAAAAAAATTTTTTTTGATAATGAAAGGATTTCCCATCATAGCAGACTCTTAAGCACGTACTCCACGTATGCGGCGTTCTAGCTGGATGTCTTTTGGCATAATTGTTACACGTTTGGCATGGATAGCACACAGGTTGGTGTCTTCAAAAAGGCCAACCAGATAGGCCTCACTTAACCTCCTGCAAAGCACCAACAGCTGCACTCTAGAAGCGCAGATCTGTCTTAAAGTCCTGAGCAATTTCTCGCACCAGACACTGGAAAGGAAGTTTGCGAATCGGAAGTTTGCGAATCAGAAGTTCAGTGGCCTTCTGATAACGTCTTATTTCACGGAGTGCCACAGTACCAGGCCTGTAGCGATGAGGTTTCTTCACCCCTCCAGTAGAGGGCGCACTCTTGCGAGCGGCTTTTGTAGCCAGTTGCTTCCTGGGTGCTTTACCCCTGGTGGATTTGCGGGCAGTCTGCTTTGTATGAGCCACGGTATAAAGACCTCCTTACTTACCCCCCTTCTTCGGCTGGAGCTCTGCAAGCTAGAGGCGGCGCTGGCGTTAGACGCGACGGCGGCTGCAAACACAATTCTTTTTTTTTTTTTTTTTTTTAGAGACAGAGTCTTACTATGTCACCCTCAGTAGAATGCCGTGGTGTCACAGCTCACAACAACCTCCAGCTCTTGGGCTTAGGAGATTCTCTTGCCTCAGCCTCCTCAGTAGCTGGGACTACAGGGGCCTGCTGCAACACCCGGCTATTTTTGTTGTTGCAGTTTGGCCAGTACCAGGTTCAAACCTGTGCCCTCAGTATATGGGGCCAGCGCCCTACCCACTGAGCCACAGGCGCCGCCCTTAAGTGTGCAATTCAATGAAATTTAATATAGTTATAGAGTTGTATAACCATCACCATTACCACATCTATTTTATTTTATTTATTTATTTGGTGAGGGGAAAGAAGGGAGAAGAGGGGAAGGGAAGAGAGGAGGAGAAGAGAGAAAGAAGGAAGGAAGGGGAGGAAAACATCTAGTTTTAGAACATTTCTATAACCCTAAAAAGAAATCTTGTGTCCATTTATAATTGTTCCACATTCCCACACCAGCCCTAGGCAACCTCTAATGTACTTTTGTCTCTAAATGTTTGTCTTTTCCAAACAGTTCATGTGAATTAAGTTACATACTATATAATCTTTTGGGTCTGGCTGCTTTCACTAAGGATAGTAAGTTTAAGATTCATCCATGTTGTACAATGTATCAGTATTTCACTCCTTTTTATTGTGAAATAATAATATTCCATTATATGGACATGCCATATTTTATTTATCCAGTCAGCAGTTAATGGACATTTGGGTTATTTCCACTGTTTATTATTTGTGAATAATACTGTTAATGGACATTCATGTACAAGTTTTGTGTGAATGTATGTTTTCATTTCGTTTGGGTAGATACCTAGAAGTGAAATTTCTATGCTATATAGTAAGTATATATTTAACCTTAAGAAACTGCCAAACCCTTTTCCAAAGTAGTTGCACCATTTTTACATCCCTGTAAGCAATATGTGGGTGGGTGTTCCCGTTTCTCCTGTTCTCACCAGTGCATGTTATTGTTGGTCTTTTGATTATAGCAATGCTAGTGGAGATGAAGTGATATCTCATGTGGTTTTAATTCACAGTTCCTTCATGTTTAATGATGTGAAACATCTTTATTTTAATTTAATTTTATTTTTTTGAGACAGAATCTCACTTTTGTCACCCTTGATAGAATGCATGATGTCATAGCTCACAGGCAACCTCAAACTCTTGGGCTCAAGCAATACCTTTGCCTCACCCTGTGGAGTAGCTGAGACTATAGGAGCCTGCCACAACACCCAGCTATTTTTAGAGATGAGGCTTGCTCTGGCTCAGGCTGGTCTTGAACCTGTGAGCTCAGGCAATGCACCTGCTCGGCTTCCCAGAGTACTAAGATTATAGGCATGAGCCACTGTGCCCAGCCACTAAATATGTTTTATTAGCCACTTGTATATCTACCTTGGTGAAATGTCTATTCAAATCTTTTGCCTATCTTTTAATTGAGCTGTCTTCTTAACTTGTTGTAAGGGTCTTTATGTGTTATGAATATATCATCTGATATATGATTTACAATTGTTTTCTCCCTTCCCAATGCTTATTATTTTCATTTTCTTAGTAATATCTACTGAAAGTTTTTTTTTTTTTTT